AATTCAGGTTATGAATAATGATGGTTTCTTGACTATAGGGTGAACATTTGTGTTGTAACAGAAATCTGGAGAACAAAGCTGGGAAAGTTTAACATTATTTTTTAATGTCTCCCCTTTCCACACAAGTTTAACTGAGCTTATGTGGTGTCATGGAATGCCCTTGGATATTATAACTTCTCAGGAGTTAAAACTGTTAATAAAAGGAGCCTTGGGGTTGAGTACAATTGGTTGTCCCCTCTCTGCCAGTCTAATGAATAATCACTATTAGGAAAGAGGGACTGCCACCCAAACAATTTCCAGGTGCTCCAAACCCTGCTTCAACTCTTTACATTATTAATAATGTTACGTTCAGAAAGCTACATAGGGAGGCAGTATAATGCAGTGGTGGAACATCTATGCACACAGGAGGCATCACCTCAATCCTTGGCATCTTTAAGGAGGATAACCCCCCTCCTCAAAAATCCTTGCCAGAAATCTTGGAGAGTTGCTACCACCAGTCAGTGTGGGATGGGGCAATGGTCCTACTCCAATTTGTTTGGTTGTTTAATTTATATCCTGCCCTTTTTTTCTTTTCAAGGAACTCAAGGCGGCTTACATAATTCTCTTTTCAATCTTATTATCCTCACAGTAAGAACCCTGTGAGGTAGGTTGGGCTGAGAGTCTGTGACTGACCCAAAGTCAGCTCGTGTGCTGCATGGCTGAATGGGAGCTAGAACCCAGATCTTCCTAGTCCCAGTCCCGCACTCTTAATCACACTGGCTCTTTAGGCAGTTTTGTACACTGTAGCACCACTAATCTATTTGACTGAAGTAGTTCTAATGGCCATGATGGCTGGGAATGCTAGAAGTTTTAGTCCAACACATCTGGAGGGCACCATGTAGGGGAAGGCTATAGTAGATTGGCAAACTTTGGACTGTATCACTTCAGACTTCACATGGGGGACTGAGTTTTTGAATGCCTTCCCCATATGAGTAGCTGTACATGGCAGTGTACTATCCAACTCCTCTTGCTACTATTACAAAGATGATGATGATGATGACGATGATGATGTGGTGTTAGCTTGCCACATTCAGAGGCCCTCAAAAATATGACCACCGCTTGCTATCTTGGGTGGTAAATGTCCAGAAAGTTGCTGGCTTGGTTTACTGCCTCATTTGACTGTGGGTGTTTCTATACAAGACTTCTGTTTTGTGCTTATGATCCTTCATTCGGGGAAGTTTGCTGGTCTTTTTCACAGCTTCTTTCAGAGTAAGGATAATGCATATTTCTGGATTACTCCATTATTTCTCTATGGAAAACTTGCATAGGATCTCAATTCCACTCTATTTGGTGCCTCATTATGCTGTGTAATGGAATATCTAGAAAGGAAAACCTGTAGGGAAAAGAAAAATCATTTAAAAAGATAGTCTTCCTGTGCGAAGAGAAAGCCTTCTCTTTAAAACACCAGGTTAAATGCCTCATGCAGAAATGCCCAAAATGTGGAGAATGGCTCTTAATTCCCATGTGGTGGCATTTGTGCAGCTGAGGGAATATCTGTTCCCTCAGCAGGGACACACCTTTCCATGTTGAGGGCTGATGGATAATCTGTAATGCAGCCAAATGTTCATTTCTGTCTTATGGTTGCAGTTCTCAGCTTTCTTATTTTGAACAAGGTTTTCACGCTGTTCCACAAAACAAAACAACAAAACAAAAACAAAACATGTTGTCACAGGTACTTGGCAAGCACTTTTGTTACAAGAAGTTATATGTATGAAGGCAGAAGGGTAGGCAGAGAGAGTCCCTAACAGTTCAGTATTATCTACCAATGCTTTAATGCTTCAGTTCTCACATTTCAAAGAATTGCTAATTTTCATGTTTCTTGACAAGCCTTTTTTTTGATCTACTAATGCATTTTGAAAGGAAGCTACAGGGTGTTATGTCAAAACAGAGATAATATTTTTAAAGATCTTTTTTTAAAAGGTGAGGAGGTGAGGAGGAGAAGCCCATAAATCTAAGAAACACGTGTGTACATGCAAAAGATCTGTTATTGCACCAGTGCTTCTGGTTATTTATTATTTATTTGGACAATACATAAATAAATATATTTCTAAACAAAATACATAAAATACTGGAGACATCCTGGTAGCAGATTTAAAATCAATAAATAAAATCAACAGTTAAAATAACATTTAAATAAAAAGGTCTTGGCCTGGCGCCGAAAAACAAATAAGGACGGCGCCAGGCAGACCTCTCTGGGGAGCACGTTCCATAAGTTGGGCGCCACCGCAGAGAAAGCCCTCCTCCGGGTACTCACCCTCCTAATATCCCTCACAGAGGGCTCCCGGAGAAGGGCCTCTGCCGCCAATCTCAAAGGGCGGGAGGGCACATATGGACGCAAGCACTCCTTTAGGGAAGCTACAGAACTAATTCAAGTGGCGGCAAGGATTAGCTCAGTCGAAAACTTTTGAAAACTATTGCTTACCTTAGGGCTACTCTGTTTAGGGATGTCATTGAAGCTGGTTTGGAAGGTTAGCTAATGCAAAATGCTGCTGCCCAAGTGCGTGTTGATGCTATTCTGCAACCTTAAAGCAAATGCACTGTGTCTGTTGATGCCAACCCTAATTTAAAGTGCTGTTACTGACCATAACAGCACAACAGTCATAAACACTTTGGAGAAAGGTTACTCAGAGGAATGTCTGCACCCACATCAGCCTGCCTAGGCCTTGAGTTCAGCCATAGGGACCCTGATCATAGACCAATAAGTGGGCACATAACATAAGCTATAAGTGGTGTGAACATAAGCTAAAGCCCTTTCAGTGGAGGCCGCTCAACTCTGGAATTCCTTCCCTTTAACTATATATTTACTGCCCTCCCACTTTTAGACAGGCCATGAATACTTAAAAATATATAAAACTGCATTTGTGCAATAAATAATTGGTATACCGTATTTTTCCGTGTATTAGATGCTACTTTTTCTTAAAAATTTACTTAAAAATGAAGGTGCTGCTTATACACAGGGGGCCACGGGCAGCTGCGGGGAGAAGACTGGCACATGTGGGGGGGGCGTGTGGGGGGGGGGGGGGGGGGCACGCGGGGGGGGGGGGCGGGGGGGGAGGGGGGCCGGGGGGCGGCATGTGCGGGGGGGGGGGGGAGGCACACACGTGTGTGCGTGCACGGCAGCAACTTGTTCGCTGGAGATGGGTAGGAAAAGTGGGGGGCGTCCTATACATGGGGGCATCTTATAGACAGAAAAATATGGTAATTTCCTTCTTCTAATACTTTTTGCTTCTCCTTTAAAAAAACTGCTCTTAGAAAACAATTATGTTATTCTGATGGTGTGATACAGTTGTGCTGTTCTTTTAGGGATATGTGTGTGAGAGAAAAATTTTTAATGTTACTTTGCATGCAGAAGCGCCAGAGTATGATTTCTTGTGACTCCAGGTAGAACTAGAAAAGAATCTTCCCTGAAACGTGGAGAGCACCGGAAGTGTTGACAGTGTGAGCTGCTTTGGGGAGGCAGAGAGGGCCTGTATTGTTGTGTACTGATGTAAGAAGAGTCCTGCTAGATCAAACCAAGTGCCTGTGTAGTCTTGCATCCTGTTCCCTACATTGGCCAATCAGTTACCCATGAGGAGCCCACAAATGGGACATGAGGACAATAATCCTCTCTTGTTTCACAGCAACTGGTATTCAGAGACACCTCTGGTCCTGGAGGTAGCCAATAGGACTAGAAGCCACAGATAACCTTATCTCCATGGGAATGTTGAATGTTGCCCCCATTTAAAGCCATATAATCAAGAGGAGTGTATCTGGGTTCCTCAATCTTAACCAAGTCCCAGTCTGAGGGAACAGGTGGGGAAAATTAATTCCAGGACTATATGGATGAAGTTATCCTTTAAGCAACCTTGGTTTTAAAGTGAAATCCTCAAAAAGTGGCTTATGTTACCATCATTGTTTTCACTATGAAAAAGACACAATTGTAGAGCAAACAGATATATACTGATATATTTTATCAGTTTAGCATTCTTCCATTCATCCAGATGTCTACAATCATGCCCTTCAAATCCCTGACTAGAACTGAATCACTGAAGTACATTTTGAAAAGCAGACTTTTAACACCTGGAGTTATAATGCAGAAAATTCAGGTTTCTAGTTTAACAGAAGATAGAATAAATTGGTAGAGTCCTACGTTGGTAGAATGGCCTGTATTACTTCAGATTACAGCTAGGGAAGTTCATTTTTAATACCTCTGTATGAAAATTCCAATCAAGTTGAAAGCTAGCACAAGTGGGAATGGGTACAACGATAACCTTTCTTTCATATGTGCAAGCTTGGGGGCTTTAAACAAACTTCTAGGAAAGTGTGCACATGTCTGTGCGCATATCTAGGAAATGAGCTATTCAGAAATAGCCTTCCATATCTGCAGTCTGAAGTGATACAGTCCACCTGCCACCTAAGGGCAGATAAAAGGAAATCCTTCTTCACACAGCACATTGTTAAATTATGGAATTCACTGTCACAGGAAATAGCAATGGCCACCAGTTTGGATGGCTTTAAAAGAGACTTGGACAAATTCATGGAGGAGAAGGCTGTCAGTGGCTATTAGCTTTGCTGGCTGTGTTCTACCTCATGCATTAGCCTTACTGACTATATGCTACCTCCTGTTTATACCAGTTGCTGAGCAGCTTGGGCAGGCCAAGGTCTTGTACCCATCCTGCTTGATGGGCAGCTGACAGCTGGCTGTCACCATGTAGGTGATGCGCTGGGCTGGATAGCCTATTGGTCTGGTCTAGCATGGCTTTTTTGTGTTTCAGATGCTGCCATCTTGTTTTGTATATAGAGTTCTCCAGCAAAAACTAAAGAAAGATTTTTTGAAAAATACCTCACCCCTCCGCCAAAAGCTGCAGTGTCAGAAAAGGGAGACACAAGTGTAGAGACCAGACAAAAGACCATTTGTTACTCAGATTCATCAGTGCAGAAGAAAAACTCCATAGATGCTTTATTCATGTTATAGAGCATTATCTTCTCATAGATAGCTATGAGAAACCCCTGTGTGATTTTGACAACTGCAACTATGAAAAGAGACTCAGATGCAGAAGATTTTCACAAAACAGCACAGACATGTATAATGTTTCCCCCACTCTAGGATCAGCTCTACCAATAAGACTGTGAGCCAGCTGCCTCAAGTAGCAGATCATGGAACTGGGGGAAGCAGTGGTCTCAGCTCTAGTCTACTTCTCATGGATTCCCCAGCTGTTCCTCTCTGTGGGAGGATACAGCTACCTAGACCACACGACCTGTCCTGGGGTCCCTAAGCTAACCTGCTGCCTTATGTGAAGTAGAAGATGCCATCCCATCTCCGGAGCTGAAGCAAGATTTGACTGTCAGTTTCATCAGCTTCTCTGCCCTGCTTTGGGACGGGGCATCATCTTGTCCTTTGCCTCAGGTTTCAAAGTGTCTTGGGCCAGCCCTGGCTCAGACATTGATATAATTTCTAGCTCATATTCTAGTTTGCCTTTAAAAAACGAATGCTATGTGAGATTCCCCACATCTATAGGAATTATTTGGAAACCATGTGATATGCAGATTCCAAAGATATCCCTGTATGTAGAGCTTCTCACACTCCTGGTTTAGTAATTTAGTGCTGTACTTGAGGCGTGAGAATGAATGCTTGAGAAATTTGGTGTGGGGTTTCATGTGCCAGCATGGCTCTTTCCCTTGTGTGTATTATACTCAGTGACTGTTCTTGAAACAAATCAATTCACCCATCCCATGTGTGGACATGCTACCAGATACCTTGCAAATAGGTTTCAGGATGCCCTGAGGCTCATAAATCCTGGTTCTGATAGGTATTAAAGAGGTATGATTTTCTGTATTCGAAGACCCAACCTTATCAGATGTACATACTGCATCCTAGAGGTGTTTGTCCCTGACATAAGAAACTATCAATACCCAGGGCAAAACAAACACTTTAAAACATGAACAGACTGTACAGTGTTTGGCAACAGTGGAATGTAGCCAGTTCATACAGGGATTGTCCTCGGGCAGTTCAATCATCATAATTGCAGTTTCACACTCTGTCTTCTGACATATTCTTCCCTGTGGAGTCCAGGATCTGGGATTTTTTATTTTGAATAACTGTGGATGCCTCCTTCAGGGTCTAAAAGAACAGAAAAACTGTCAACCACATTCCAAAATAAACTCTTCTAGATGAAAAATGACTGCTTGCACCCCTGCTGCTCTGGATCCTCCTCTTTTAATCATGTAGTCAATCTGTTCTTCCTCAGAAGCAATAAGGTGCAGAGGTGATAAACACAAGTCTGAGTTTCATTTTACTCCTTTTGCATGCTTCCTGATTTTGCCAAAGTCATTGGGAGATTTTCCATTCATTTCACAAAAAGTAACTTTTTAGTGTATGGGTCGGTTTTAAGAATTTATTTATTATGAAGTACAAGCCAGGTAGTTTCAGGAAAACAGAGGCTTAAAGGTTAGATTATGAGAACTGGCATTAGTGTCTGCTTGTTAACATCCTTGACAATCAATGGTTCCCCTGACAGCCAATGAATTTTTAGGAAAATGGCCATACATTTGATGAAGCCAAGAAAACCAAAGGCTGGGGGCTGCTACTGACATTCATTCAGATCCAGATGTAGCCATGCTTGAGCTGATCCATTGAAATAGTGGGGTTTGAGGTGGTCATGGCTAAAAGTTCCCATTTAGGCTTACATTAAATTTGATTAAGTTTGGGTCCAAATTCTAGAAAATAAGCATCCCAAATGCACATCTTGATAACAGCTGAAAGACCAGCAAGGCTCTCTGATGTACTTGACTGTACTATATATCAAAGATTTGTAGGCTAAATCACTTCACTTACATAATACAAAAAGATATTTTGAATTTGACAAGAAGAGAGATTTGTGAGATTTCTTCTCAAGTAGCCTTTACTCACATTTTAAAGATGTATAATTAATGCAAAGAGCAGCCTTCCTTTTAGAAGAGTACTTCTTAAAGCACGGATCCCAGTAAATTCTTGGTGGATTGTACAATGCGGGCAATTACAGGGGCTTTTTCCTCTTTTTACTGAGAGGATAAGGCACTATTATTATTGTGTGGCTTCTTTTAGAAGCAAGTCTCTTTCCATATGGTCTGCTAAATTTTATTCAAATACATACATGCATTCCTCCTCCTCCTGCACGCACATCTCCATGTATTTATTTTATGAGTTGCCTTTTAGCTGACATACCATCAAGGTGAACCAAGCCTCAGCTACAGGCTACATTAAATATGTAATGTGATGCTGATTCTAACTCTTTTTATACATGAATATAAGTGCAGAGAGCCCCAGTTCTGATGGAGAACACTGCATGGGGGTGCATATGTACGTCTGTTCAGCTACCAAGCCACTTCCTCTCACCCAGCTGCATAGAAACTAAAGAACAAAACAAAGCAAAAAAACCAATTGGCAATAATAGCTTATTTTAAGCACCGTGTGTCTCTGGGTGGGTTTCCAGCTGAATGTTATAAAATGTTGTCCAATGTTTGGATTCCAATGCTTCATCTTTTTTATAACTATATTGCTTGGATCAGGCTCTTTTCCTGTTAAATAATGCTTGTATCACCATGATCCCTAAGCCTGGTGAGGAGCATATTTATTGTGCTGACCATTGACCTAGTTCATTAATTAATGTAGATAATAAATTATTAACTGCCATTCTGGCCAGTAGATCAAAATAGGTTGGTCTCCTATTGGCACCAATTTTGTCATCCTTTTGGTGCCAGGTTGACAGCCCTCTGTGCTGAACCAGTTAGAGAGATCCAAGGATATTTAATCGTTTGAGGGGAGTATCTATGCCAGGTATTTCAACAGATCTACTCCATAGCATGCCTTTTTAGATGTTAAATTGTTTTTAAATACAAAATTTATTTTGTATTTTGGACAAATTGTATGGCATTTTATTGCATTGTCTTGTTTGTAACTGTTATATTCCAGCCAGAAAACCTCAGCTATTGGGTGCCATAAAATAAAATAAATAATAACAGCAGTGTTACCTTGATAAGATTATGTAAGTTTCTTAAAAATAGAGAGGGAGTTGATCATCTTAGCTTAATTGTTAAATTGATTGCTTTAAATACTGATAGAACAGACTTGGCTAATGAAAAGGTCTTTCAGAAAACTCATTAGATATTTATTTACAGTACTCTGAATAATTTCAGCTTTCCAGTAGTTTTTTTTAAACATGGGTTAGAGTTCTATAGACAACCTCAAGAATCAGAGAGCTACCAGATAGGGAAGTCAGCTTTCTCCATAGATATATGACTTATGCATGCAACCTCTGGTGTCCGAATAAGTAGCATTCATAGATCGTTTGGAATTCAAAACTATTCTTTATGCTGATAATCATTTATTATTGCAGAACTCCAGTTGTCACTTCCAGTTTGATGATTTATACTTTTGATAATTTGTCTGGCTATTCAGGTAATTGCTCAAAGTCTGAACTGATGCTGATTGGAGATTCATGCTCATAGTATATAGCTCATTAGCAACTTCTACAGTGTCCAGATTTTATTACTTATTGGGAATACTCAGATGATCAAGCTAAATTTGAGTAAGTTGACTAATGAGATATAGATAGATGGGTATCTCTTAAGGTTAATACATTAATAGCACAATACTATGCATACAGAAAAAGGGCCTATAATTCCCATGATGCCCTAGCCTCAGACCAACTGTCTAGCGATCTCTCTCTCGCTCATTCATTAATAGACCTGGAAACATTTTCTTGCTCTTCCAAAATCTAGATACCCTCTTTCTGAATCCTGCTTCTTACAACTTAGGATTTCCTCCTTGCTTTAGTCTTTTGAACAGTTTGATGGAACAAGGTCTGTTCTGCTCTCTACTTAACCAGCAGTCAGATCAGGTGATTCTTGGGTTTCAGTGACCAATCTCAGGGAACAGGTTCTTGTTTCTGGATTCTTGTGCTGGTGCTGAACTTTTATGATTTTATTCATCAGCTGTTAAGATGGAAAAGGAAAGAGTAATTCTTATCATAGGAAAATTAAATGTCAGTTTTCTTAGAAAGCTAATTTAAATACTAGTCATCCTTCAAAGGATAGAATCAATCCATACTTTTTAAAAATTCACATTTTGCTGTACTTTGAATTTAATTGTCATTCAGTGGGGATCTTGTTTGTAAGACCTGAAACCCAGCATAGATATCCAGGTTCACAGGACTTTCAATTTAGTTTGGAAAAGCTTTAACTTTAGTTTCACTTTTAAGCTATGGGATTCCTTTGACACTGAGGTTGTTTTTCAAACTCATCTGTTTGGCATGAATAATAGAGAGATTCACCCATAATATTTTGTATCTACATGGCCATTCCTGATAATTCAGAATACCCACTGACTCTTTCAACCTTTGAGTGGTATTAGGCAATGCACATGGATAACAATAAGGATATTTGGCTTACCTTTATTGAAATTCATGTATAACTACTTCTGTGGGCAATACAGTATATTTCCTTACATATATAAAATACATATGGGTATAAATTCTGTAAAAATTCATTGCAACTACTGTACCTCAGTTTTAGGCAATATAAACAGCTTTAGGCTATTACTTTTTAACATTTCCTTTATTGTTTTCACTTTTGGTTTTGTTATAATGTTTTGAAATGCACAGTAAAAAAAATTAAAAATGCACCTGTGTGACCTCTATTTAAGATATCCTAGCATTTTCTCTGGCCTGTAGCACAATTAAAAATGTGATATCACCAAGCCCGACTTGGAATAAGGAATAAGGATCCACACCTACTGCGCCCGGCAGCCTACGCCGGAGGAGGACCGCCTCCTCGCTGTGTAAGACCGCGCCGCGCCGGAGGGGAGCCGCTGCCTGGCCGCGTAAGACCGCGCCGCCATCCACCGCCCACTTGGCTGCTCCGCCACGCCCCAGCACGTGTGGCAGGCGTGCTTCGGACGAGGCGGGGGACGCAGGGCCGGCGGCTACAAAGCCCGCGGGAGGAGCGCGCCACCAGCAACACCTACTGCGCCCGGCAGCCTACGCCGGAGGAGGGCCGCCTCCTCGCTGTGTAAGACCGCGCCGCGCCGGAGGGGAGCCGCTGCCTGGCCGCGTAAGACCGCGCCGCCATCCACCGCCCACTTGGCTGCTCCGCCACGCCCCAGCACGTGTGGCAGGCGTGCTCTGGACGAGGCGGGGGACGCAGGGCCAGCGGCTACAAAGGGCGTCGGCCAAAGGACAGTTGCCGCCGTTCGGGTGGCCGAGCAGGGGGCGGGGCTGGCCAGGGGCTTGCGCTTGGCGATGGTAGGCCCTCCTGCTGGGCTGTGAGTGAGGGGTGAGTGTGTGTGTGTGTGTGTGTGTGTTTTTAGTAGTATTTTAAATCTTTTTATGGAGTCGTCCCTGGCCATGCTGCCGCTTATGTTTCCTGGGGAGCGCACGGGTGCCGCCATTGAGGTGGTTATGGGCAGGGGACGTAACAGCGTTGGGAGCTTAACGTGTCCGCATAGAAGAAGGAGGGACAGATGGCTGACACCTGTCCCTACTTCTGGTTTTGCTCCCAGCCAGAGGGTGCCAGGGAGTCTCGTCAGTCGCCCCTCCAGCCTGACGGTGCTGTTGCTTAATGCCAGGTCGGTCAATAACAAATCTGCCCTCATCCAGGACCTGATTGTGGATGAGGGGGCCGACCTGGTCTGCATAACGGAGACCTGGGCGGGAGAGGGGGGGGATGTTGCCCTCTCCCAAGTGTGCCCGCCCGGGTATCTGGTCCAGCACTGCTCACGGCTGGAGGGGAGGGGAGGGGGGGTCGCTTTGGTATACCGAGCCTCCATCTCCCTCACGGGACTTCCGGTCCCTTCGAGACCAGGGCTGGAGTGTCTCTATTTGGTGTTGGGCGACCGAGACAGACTGGGGATTCTGTTGGTGTACCGCGCACCCTTCTGCCCAACAGTCTCCCTGCCTGAGCTGACGGAGACTGTCTCGGACCTGGTGTTGAGGACCCCCAGGATGTTGGTCCTGGGGGACTTCAATCTCCATGCCGAGGCTAGTCTGACCGGGGCGGCTCAGGACTTCATGGCCTCCATGACCATGGGGTTGTCTCAACATGTCACCCACCCATGAACGGGGACACACTCTGGACCTGGTTTTCTCGACGGGGCAGGAAGAGGGTGGTCTGAGGGTGAGTAATTTATGCTTGACTCCCCTGTCATGGTCAGATCACTTCCTGGTGAGGTTTATGCTCGAGAGCGACTTCTCCCTCTGTAAGGGTGCGGACCCGATTATGTGGGTCCGCCCCCGGAGCCGGATGGATCCAGAAGGATTCCTGAAGGCCCTGGGGGAGTTTCCGGCTGACAAGACGGGTGCTCCTGTCGAAGCTCTGGTCGAACTGTGGAATGGGGAGATGACCAGGGCTGTAGACACGAAAGGCTGCCGTCTGGTCCAGATTTATTGGATGAATTTCAGTTATTGCGGCCCGATGATGTGGACAAGGTGCTTGGGCGAGTACGTCCAACCACTTGCCTTTTGGACCCTTGCCCGTCTTGGTTAATAAATGATTCCAAGCACGGGATTGGAACCTGGATCTTGGAAGTGGTTAACGCTTCTCTGAGGGAGGGTCGGGTGCCGGCCCCTTTGAAGGAGGCGGTAGTCCGACCGGTCCTGAAGAAGGCGTCACTGGATCCAGAGATGGCCACTAATTATAGACCAGTGGCCAACATCCCGTTTCTGGGCAAGGTGTTAGAACGAGTGGTGGCGGGACAACTCCAAGCACTCTTGGATGAAACTGATTATCTGGACCCATTGCAGTCCGGCTTCAGACCCGGGTACGGTACTGAATCTGCCTTGGTCGCCCTGTATGATGACCTGTGCAGGGAGAAGGACAGGGGGAGTGCGTCCCTGTTGGTTCTGCTGGACCTCTCAGCAGCTTTCGATACCATCGACCATGGTATCCTTCTGGATAGGCTTGCGGGATTGGGGGTTGGAGGCACTGCTTTGCAGTGGTTCCGCTCCTATCTCAATGGCCGGTTCCAGAAGGTGGTGCTGGGGGACTATGGCTCTGCGCCATGGCAGCTATGCCATGGAGTACCGCAGGGCTCCATTTTGTCCCCTTTGCTGTTCAACATATACATGAAACCGCTGGGAGAGGTCATCAGGAGGTGTGGGCTGCGGAACCATCAGTACGCTGATGATACCCAGCTCTACCTCTCGTTTTCCACCAATCCAGGTGAGGCAGTGGCTGTGCTGAACCGGTGCCTGGCCGAGGTAATGGGCTGGATGAGGGCCAATAAACTGAAGCTCAATCCAGACAAGACGGAGGTCCTGTTGGTTGGTGGATCGGGCTTCGGAGAGGGTGAATTGAACCTTGTCCTGAATGGGGTTGCACTCCCTCTTAGGGACAAGGTCCGCAGCTTGGGAGTGCTCCTCGACCCAGAGCTTTCACTGGAAGCTCAGGTAACAGCAGTGGCGAGGAGTGCTTTCCTCCAGCTTCGGCTAATTCATCAGCTGCGCCCCTATCTGGAGAATGACTGCCTTGCGACAGTGACACATGCGTTGGTGACTTCCCGTTTGGACTTCTGCAACGCGCTCTACGTGGGGCTACCCTTGAAGACGGTCCGGATACTTCAATTGGTCCAAAATAGAGCTGCCAGGCTGCTGACGGGGACTGGACGTTATGTTCACATGACTCCAGTTCTCCGTCAGCTTCACTGGCTTCCCATTGAAGTCCGGGCCCAATTCAAGGTGTTGGTTATGACCTATAAAGCCCTAAACGGCTTGGGTCCTGGTTACCTGAAGGAGCGCTTACATCCTTATATGCCCAGCCGCCCCCTGAGATCGGCGGGAGAGGCCCTTCTCCGGGAGCCCTCCATGGAAGAAGTTAGGAGGGTGGTTACTCGGAGGAGGGCTTTCTCAGTGGTGGCGCCTAAGTTATGGAATGCGCTCCCCAGAGAGGTCCGCCTGGCGCCGTCGTTATTTGTTTTTCGGCGCCAGGCGAAGACCTTTTTATTTAAGCAGTATTTTAAATGTTAATATTATTGAATTTTATTTGGCCAGGGCGGCTTGTTTTATAGTGTATATTTGTATTTTATTGTATATATTTTAAAATGTTATTTTAAATTTTTTGTTGTAAGCCGCCCCGAGGCTTCGGCGAATGGGGCGGCATAAAAATGTTTTAATAAATAAATAAATAAATAAATAAAGTCTTGGTCAAACCCAACTTCAGGATCACCTCTTTGTAGCTCCCCTGCCCTGAAAATATTGAGGGTATAGGATAGTACAAGGATATCAGTTTGGGGTGTGAGGCATGTGGCACAACAATGATTCAGGCATTACAGTGTTGCCCGCCACCCCCGGTAACTAGATATGAAGTTGGTGACATTAATTCTCCAATTATTTGCTCCTGAGGGAAATTTTATTTCTCAGTGAATTAAAGAAGAAAAGTTGGTGTGTGTGTGTGTGTGTGTGTGTGTATGTGGAAGCTTACAGCTCATCTGGGAAAGCTAGCATTTTACAGTGTGAAAGTTATTGTGCTGTCCTTGACAAGTGTTTAATCAATATGTAATTCTCTTTTCTGATCTGTTCAGTGGGAACTTTGGAATGCTCTGTTGATAAATTAGTGATGTTTGCACAGCTTTCTGAAGATGTATTGTTAAGCCTGGCAGAGGATAACATTAGAGCATTCTCTTCTTTAACTCACTATTTTTAAAAATCAAATATTACTGGCAAGGAAACAAAGGAAGAGAGTGGGTGGAATGAAGACACTGATCATTTGCTCCTCACAAAGCCAAGTTCTTGAGAAGCACTTGTAATTTTTCTCTCTCACCAGTCATTCAACCCACGTCTCAATTTCAAACACTGCCATTCCCTACCTGTATTTACACATCTCAAGTATCCTTTACCCTCAGCTTTTAATCACTTTACAACTATATTTAAGATGCAACAACGGGGACCCATTTCTCTTATTGGGGAAGTATGTTATGCTTATATGTTGCAAGCATAATTGTAAAGCCATTGTAAATCATAAGCTGTCACTGACATTTTCTTTTTTAGATTCCCATAGTCCCTTTTCCCTTTTGTGTGTTTGTTGCTTTAGTGCCTTCTTCTGTGACTGCAAAATAAACAGGCTTTCTTTACTCTTTTAAATCAATGGGATCTCTCATTTCTATTTCACAGCAGTATTCTTGACAGCTGTGAACTCATGCACACCCACACATTTGTCCATTACATATAATATTGTCCCAATATTACAACTTCTTATGTTGCAAGAGAAACACCCATATAATCTGCTTTTAATGCACTAACCATATTATACTGCTATAATATATTTACTTTGTATTTATTTTGATCAAGCAGAAGCTACACATTGATTTCACAGCAGTATTCTTGACAGCTGTGAACTCATGCACACCCACACATTTGTCCATTACATATAATATTGTCCCAATATTACAACTTCTTATGTTGCAAGAGAAACACCCATATAATCTGCTTTTAATGCACTAACCATATTATACTGCTATAATATATTTACTTTGTATTTATTTTGATCAAGCAGAAGCTACACATTGAACACATTGCTCCTCCTGTTACTAGGTCTAGAATGTGACTTACCTTGAAAAATTTTGAGACTTTCTTGTCCTTCCCCATCATCAGCTTTGTTTTTACAAAATGCAGCATAGCAGACATCTAGGCATCTTTTTGTTCTGCTATTGAAAATTACTGCACATTGTTGGGCTGTGCGTGGTCATTTTGCTTCTTCTGTTCTGTAAGCTATTGGCATCTGAACATTCCCCCAAATGGGGAACTTGGCACAGCCCTCCATCATATGATAAGGGAACAGCTGCCCTATTCAAAGCAGAGAATAAAGTTTTACTTGAGCTTGGCACAAGGCACAGGAAAAGCACATTCCTTCTCCAGAAATACTTTCATATTATAACATCTCCCTATTATATTCCTCAGTGGTTCTAGTACCACAGAATCAGATTGCCATAGCCATAAAGTTATACTGCAGGTTTTAGCTGCATGACAGAAGTAGCAGGAACAAGGAAATGTGGGTGCATCCAAGTAAAAAGTGACAGCAACAGCAAAACAAAAAGAACAAAAGCAAAATAAATAAATAAGAGTAGGTTTTTGCAGGTGCAGGAGGAGGAGTGGAGTCTGAAGAGAGTTTGGTCATGTGAGAGTCCTGAAGGAATGGACTGGGACCAGATGGAGTACCCAGGCCCAATGTTGTACACCCCTGAACTAGGGAGATATCCAACTTTTAAAATCCTGTTTTTATTTGTGTTCATGTAACTGCTAAGTTGCATTGTAATTTTTTTCAAGGTAATAAACTCATCATTCAAAATAGCAGAAGTGAAATTAGAAATTATGCTACTTTACAAAAGCAGAAGGCCATAGAAATAGCTTTAATGTTGGTTATTCATACTGCATCCAGCTATTTGGGCACAAGCCTTTGGAGGACTAAATCTTCAGAAAGCGAAGGTAATGCTCCCTGTTCCTGCTCTGGAGGACCTGGTACAGTTAACCTTAAAAGCAGTGCTTTATTTAAGCACAATCCTATGCATGTTTAGATAGTAAAAAGTCCTGCAACACTCAAATTGCCCTGGTCAACCCTGCTGCCTGGGACATGCTCAGATTTGCAAGACTGTTTTTCGTCAGTCATGCATTGGACTGTAGCCTTCCTCCTTTTAAATATAGTTTGAGGACGGCTGAGTTTTTCCTCTGAAAGTAAAAGCTAAATTGCCAGGAGATCTCAAAGTAAGCTGTATGCCACTGTCTCCTGGATCCAGCTCCATGTACTTTCACCTTGATCTTTGTACACCATTCTTGTTGCATGCTTAGCAAAAATAATAAATTACTTTTAGGAGATATATACAGTTTTATAAATAGAGTAAAAGTAAACCCAACCCATAGGCAAGTGCTGATAGAGCAAGATAATATTTTACATTACAAGAAGTCACAGATGAGTGGCATTGCTTTCAGTGTGGTTGACTGACACAAATGTAAATAAATCTTATACAGAATCTGACTACATTTCTTGCCAGTCAAGGTCCAGCAATCTCACTCCTTTGAAAAATGTTATCTTCATTTAGATCTTCAATAGAATATTCATCAGTCAATCATAAAGCAATGGAGATACTTTCACCATTACACAACATTGAAAATACAGGATATTATGCTAACATACTGCTGAATCTTGTTTTTATTCATTTTCTATAACAAGCTGAATGAGGGCACAAGCCTATGCATGTTTAGATAAAAAAAATCTTCTGCAACTTCCAACATATTTCTGACTTGGTTCACGCATCATGAAAAGCAATCCTATGTGGTTTCCACAGTGTGCAGTTTTTTGCCCCAATGTACCTGACAATCAAGTTGTTGTAATGCTGACATGGTTTCCAATTTCCTCACTTGGTCTTCCTGCTGTTGACATGTATCCCATCAACCACCATGCCTGAAATTCAATCCAATGCTGAATGGCTGGAGCAGCTCCTGCAGCTGCTAGTCTTTTCAGAGGACTTTGTAGTAGCTGCATGACAGGTTTGTGGAACCCGTGATGCCTGGTTCAGATGACCACAGAAGCCATGGTGAAGCATGGAAATCATAGGACAGACCATTGTTTCTTACTGTAGTTTCTAAAAACCTAACATGCCTTCTGAAATATTATGTCAGGGTTCAGACAACGCAACAGATCATCTTATGCCATGCGAACCCTCCCATTGTTTAAACATGCATAGAATTGTGTCCTTTGTGGTCTCATCTGAGTTACAGACAAAGCAGTCCTTTCACCTAGTTATGTTGAGGGCAGAGATATATAGCCACTGCCTATCCACTCTGCTGGTGGAATGGCAGCTGGGTCCTGTATGCACTCATCCAGGGAGGGGAGGGGCAAAACACGACACTAGAAAATGCAAAAAAACCCCCATAAATAGTGAGGAAATGTCCAAAGAGTCTGTGGAAACACTGCCTGCACTCAGCAAGCTTGGAATGTACCAGGCATGGTAATCATAGCCTCATCACGCCACCATAAATGTCAGGAGTTGCAGAAGGTGGCAGAGGGTGTCATAGTCCAGTGTGAGAGTGGACCCGTCTGTGAACACCACATCTGGATTCTGAGAAAAGGAACTTTGCTAGTCCCTCCTTCAATACTTCTGAGATCCATACTCAGAGCTTGTAGGAGTCATGCTTATGTTTTACATGTTGGTGGTCCCTGGTTCAAATTCAGAGTCCAACCTACATCAGGAAAGGTGGGGAGCGAGGCACACATGAGTCTAGCTGAGAACTACCCATTCCAGCAACCATATGCTGTTCATGATACTGCCTGATTTTAGCTAAAATATATAAATATGCTTTGAAATTATCTCAAGCTAATTAATTGGGCCGGATAAATTAGTGATTTGATAAGTATGAGACAGCTCCTTGCCTTAAGTTACTGCAGCAGTTCAACTGAATAAATGCTGATGAAATTTTAGTCACTCTACTTACCTTTCTGGTCAAAAAAGGCTTGAAGGCATAAAAATTTAACCATTCCCTGAAAATATTCATTGTATTCAGGTGAGGTGGAATCCTATGCATGATTAGACAGGAAAAAATCTTACAACTTCAAACATGTCCCAGCCACCATGCTAGGAGTCATAAGCCTTTTCCCTGTTTAAACATGAATAGGATTGCACCATTGATGGCTCTTTGGGTGCACAAAAGTATAGTATTATGACTTTGATGTAAACTGCTGTATTGTTATTTTACATCCTCTTGAAGCTGGACAGCAACATGTCTCCTTTTTTGTTTGTTTCATGCTCTTTGGTTAGGCTGTGTTCTATTTCTCTTCTCCCTCCTGTAGTTCATATTTATGGCATGTAAGTAGATAGTTTAAAATGCTTACAAGAGCAAGTCAGGCAACAGTTTAACCTTTGACAAAGGCTGTATTTTTTAGATTTAACTGAAAGCACTTAGTTAAGAAAAATCTGTTTCCACTTTGCTGATGAGATGTTTTTAAACAAATGGCAGGTTACAGCTACATATGGCAAAACTATGGCTTTACTGAGGGCCTGAGCTTCCATCCTTTACTCCTGTGAAGTCCAGGGATGTAATCAGAGTCATATGACCAAGGGCATAGATTATGATCCCAAATGAAATCACTTGGCAAAATTTGCTGCACCACAATGCCTGTTCTAAACCCTACTTAAGTGCCTTCTGATTCCTTCCCAGATTAACCATTCAATCATATACATGTTAACACAGAAGTAACTCCCACTGAGTTCAAGTAAATTTATTCCCATGAAAGGGCATGTAGCAAGGCAAGACAACTTGTGGTCTTCCACATATTTTGGCCTACAACTCCCAACACTCATAGCCAACATAGATAATGGTAAAGGAAGATGGGAGTTACATGTCAAAACATCTGGAGGGCCACAAGTTGACCACACCTGGTGTATAGAATTTGGGCCTAAGATTGCAATTTTATAGTCATTTATCTTGGAGTAGGTCCCATGACCATTGTGTGGCTTGCTCTTGAGCAGACATACATAGGATTGTGGTAGAACTCACATATAATTACTGTTTGACAAGATTACATATGCTCCATAATGCCGCTGCTAAAGTACTAACAGGAAGCCCTGCATGGTGGAGGGTGCCTTTGATGCAGTCATTCCGGTAAACTTGCTGAAAAGCTAAATTAAAAAAAATATATCTTCTGTCGTGTGTGTGTGTGTGTGTGTGTGTGTAATGTCTATTTAGAAGGAAGAAGTATCTGGCCTTCATTTTGCCTCTTTCTTGTCATGCTAATTTGTTGCTTTTATCATGCCTTAGCTTAATTGATCATTAGGCTTCACTTAGATTCCATAGAGCATGGGAGTACATTGCTTTGCCTGTGATGGGGAAGTAACTGTAAAATACCACATGTGTACAATTGGCAGACTCATGTAGTATTTTTTTTGGACAATACCACTTCTAGTTCCAAAGCAGGGATGGGGGAACCCCAGGGCTGAAAGCAAAATCTAGCCCTCTTGAATTCTTTCCTTTGGGATTCTCCATATGGCCACCAACCTTCTTCCCAACCATCATTTGGTGGTTTCCTGGTTCTTGTTGTCTCTCCTAATGCTTGGGTACTGGGAGTAGGACTTCAAGCTACAATATTCTGACTGTGCATCCTTTACCACTGCCCCCCTTGAGCTTTTCCAAAACTGAGTATGTTCCTCAGGCTGAAAGAAGCTTTTCTACCCTCACTCCAGAATACTGCATGTTTGAATGTGCCTGAACCTGAAAAGGAGACTCTCCCCAGCTCTTCAAATTTATTTATTTATTAAAACATTTCTATGCCACCCCCTGCCGAAGCCTCGGGGTGGCTTACAGCATAGAATAAAATACACAATAAATTAAGCCAATAACAATTAAAATATATACATTAGAATAAAATAAAATAAAATAAAAATTTTGTTGGACTTTAACTCCCATAAATCCTAACCAGTATGGCTACAATCCAGAGAGGCTGAAATGCAACATATCTGAAGTGTCCCATCCCTGTCTGCTGTTAGCAATACCTTTCAAATTGCCATATTGGCAGAAAGCACAATCTTATGATTATTCAGAAAGAAAAAGTTGTACAATCCTCAGCATTCCCCAGCCAACTTGTGCCCCAAGTTTACCTATCTATTTTTCCTGATTGTCAATTCCGGGCATTTTGGGTAACGTCTAGAAATACATGCATAACTTGTTTTAGTTGACATCATTCAAAATGAAGATTCCTTAGATGACAATCTGGCTTGATGATGCAAAAGACATAAAATAGCATCCTTGCTTTCCCTAAACATTGTTGGTTTGGGCATACTAAGAATAGTA